AATTCAAACATCATAAAACAGTTAAAAAAAATAATGCAAAATTAATTTGGGTTGATAACGAGTCTTGCTTTAAAAATCGTATTAAAACGGGAGCAATAGTTAATTTAGATATTAAAGATCCTATAATATTTTTTAGCAAGGCGTTTAGATCATTCTCTTGTCAAATAAAAAAAGCCCTTCGGGAGTCCCTAATTAAAGTTAACGTAATATTTCTTGCAGATTTTGTAAAACCACAAACGGGCGAAACCGATGTAAAACATTTTTCCACCAAAAATCGCGTCATCGATCATAATACCGATTTGAAAGAATTTTATAGTAATTATATTAAAAATAATATATTAACAAAATTAGAGGATTTTCAAGAGAGGGATTCTGGTTGGGCTCTTCACCGGATTCTACAATTAAAAGTTAACATTAATAATTATACACCGATAAATATCGGTCTTTCAACTTATGTATCGATGCCAAAATTTATTATTAATAAAAAAGCTGTTCTTAATATTCAAAATAACGATGAATATTGTTTTCTTTGGTCTATCGTTGCCGTGCTACATCCTTGTCGTACAAATCAAAATCCGCGTATTACCTATTCATATCCTCATTTCAGTGAAGTTTTAAAATACGATGGCATTGAATTTCCAATCAAATTAAAAGACATAAAAAAATTTGAAGAAATGAATAATATTTCCATAAACGTTTTCTCATTAGAAAAGCGGGAAATTGTACCGGCGTGTTTAAGTCAATTCTCTTATTTAAGAACGGTTAATTTATTGATGCTTCCCACCGATACAACCAATGATTACGACGACGACGACGACGACGACGACGACGACAACAATAATCTCTCTAATCACATTAACAATTTTGAGACAGTTTTTCAATTCGCATTAATTAGAAGTTTATCACGGTTATTATCGAAACAAAGCGGAGATTCGACTCATAGCAGATTTTATTGCGATCGGTGCTTAAATCATTTTTATTCACAACAAACTTTAAATAAACATATATTTAGTTGCAGAAAATTAAATAAAACCAAAATTACGCTCCCGACTGAACAAGAGAAACACGTAACATTTTCGCATTTTAAAAATAAAGAAAAAGTACCGTTTGTTATTTACGCGGATATCGAGTGTATTTTACAAAAATACGAAGATTCCGCTGCGACGGGAAACATTAAAAAATATCAAAAACATATTCCTTGTAGTATTTCTTATTATCTGTTGTGCAGTTACGATAATAATCTTTCCAAATTTAACTTGTATACGGGTAAAGATTGTATGAGCTGGTTTTGTCGACAATTACAAGAACTGGCCCTACAATTAAATCCTATATTTAACAATGCTGTTTCAATGACACCTTTGACTGAACATGAAAAAGAATCATTTTATACATCAATCACATGTCACATTTGTTCAAAACCATTTACCGAAAATGATTTAAGAGTAAAAGATCATTGTCATTTCACGGGAAAATATCGAGGAGTTGCTCATTCTTCTTGCAATCTTAATTACAAGGACGATCATATGATACCCGTGGTATTTCATAACTTAGGATACGATCTACACTTTTTTATTAAAAACTTGGCAACTGAAATTCCCGGTTCGGTAATATTACTTACTACCTCGTAACAAAGAAAAATATATATCGTTTACAAAATATATCGAAAACACGAGCGTTAATTTTCGATTTTTAGATTCGTTCAGATTTATGGCTAGTAGTTTGGATAAGTTAAGTTCTTATTTAGACCCTAGCGAAAAAAACATTACTAGAAGCTTTTGCGAAAATCTCGAAGAATTTCAGTTGTTACAGAAAAAGGGAGTCTTTCCGTATGAATATCTAGATGATTGGGAAAAATTGAACGACGTCGAATTGCCCCCGATTGAAAATTTCTATAGTAAACTTAGAAAATCCGGTATTACGATAAAAGATTACGAGCATGCCAAAAATATTTGGACAACATTCAAAATTCAAAATTTACGCGAATATATAGAATTGTATTTGAAAACAGACGTACTATTATTCACGGACGTTTTCGAAAATTTCAGAAATGTATGTCAAAAAACGTATGGCTTGGAATGTTTGAAATATTACACGGCACCGGGTCTGGCATACGATGCATGTCTTCTCATTTCAAATGTTCAACTAGAATTAATTACGGACATCGATCAATTAATGATGATCGAAAAAGGAATACGCGGTGGAATTTCACAATGCAGTAACCGATACGGTAAGGCTAACAATAAATACATGGAAAACGATTATAATCCAGACATTCCTTCATCATATTTAATGTATTTCGATGTAAATAACCTATATGGAACGGCAATGAGACTACCACTACCGACGAGTGGGTTCCAATGGATCGATAATAACGCATTTTATTCTATCATAAACACGTCGGACGATTCTGACGTTGGGTATCTTCTTGAAGTAGATATAGAATATCCTACAATACTTCACGATATCCACAAAGATCTACCTCTATGTCCGGAACGTTTGATTCCACCAACGGGTCAAACAAAACAGCCGAAATTATTGACAACATTGTTTGATAAAAAAAACTACGTAATACATTATAAAAATCTCAAACAGGCTCTTCAGTTAGGTTTACGTGTTACAAAAATTCATAAAATATTACAATTTAACCAATCTCCGTGGTTGAAAACCTACATTGACCTAAACACACACTTGAGGCAGCAAAGCAAAAACGAATTTGAAAAAAATTTTTTTAAATTAATGAATAATGCCGTTTTCGGCAAGACTATGGAAAACGTTCGGAAATATAAAGACGTTAAACTGGTAACAAGTTGGTCGGGACGATACGGTGCAAAGAGTTATATTTCAAAACCAAATTTTCATAGCTTAACAATTTTCGACAATGACATGGTTATCATTGAAATGAAGAGATTGAATATTAAATTTAATAAACCCATTTACGCTGGTTTTAGTATTTTAGAAATTTCAAAAACATTTTTATACGATTTTCATTATTTCATTATATTATACCAAAATTCGGCAAGGATGTAAAACTCTTGTATTCAGATACAGATTCGTTAATATATAATTTTTACGTTGACGATATTTATAAATGTATTCGAGAAGATATTCATAAATTTGACACTTCTGATTATCCTCCCGATAACATTTATAATATTCCTTTGGCTAATAAAAAAGTTTTGGGATTGATGAAAGACGAAAACAACGGTAGAATTATGCACGAATTTATCGGATTAAAATCTAAAATGTACGCGATCAAATTATATTATTCAAATGTAGAACGAGAAAACTCTTCTAACAAAAAAGAAGTCGAAACTATTAAAAAAGCCAAAGGTATTACCGATTCGTCATTAAAAACAATCACTTTTGAAGACTATTATAATTGTCTGTTTGATAAAACTCAAATGTATACCAACGAAAATCTGTTTCGTAGTAAAAACCATGAAGTTTTTACGGTAAACCAAAGGAAAATTGTTTTAACACCGTTCGATGATAAGAGAGTGCTTAATTATATATTTACTGATACATTGCCTTGGGGATATAAAACAAATTAAATTTTATGTTAAAAAAATATTCACTTGTTTTAATTAATACAATTTCATAAGCAGCAAAAACTCACTTGTTTTATCATTTTTGTTTTAATTAATTCAATTTCATAAGCAGCAAAAACTCAACAATTTTAAATAAAGACATTATTAAAAGGTAAGAACCTATTTGTTTTCTGTAGTCATAATTTAATACAATTTTTTTCACAGCATTCTAACGTCGAGTCACTGAAAATTTGCGTTAAAGTGTTTAGTCAAGTACGAAGCAGCAGCAGCCATGAATAGTGATCGTTACGTAACAACAACAACCGAAAAAAAAGTGAAACAAGATGTTTCGGAAAACTCCAAAGTCTACTACTATAACGGTACCAAGTACTGTAATAGCTGCAACAAATCTTTTTGCTTTTGTGAAGAATCCATTAAAAATCATCCAATATGTAATATAAAATATTGTTCGCAATCAACAAGTCGTTCGAACAATATAAGTTTATATTGCGACGAAGTTATTCCATCATCATCGTCGTCGTCGTCGTCGTCGTCGTCGTCGTCGTCACCACCAGCGGCCAAAAAAACAAGGATTTAGAACATACCCTATAGAAGAAGAAGAAGAAGAAATACGTTGTGGTGTTTAGCAAAATTATATCGGATGTCAATACTTTGTAAATGTTTTCAATAAATCATCAATTTTATCGGTGCACATTTATTTAATTGTATTCACCTCGACAACCTTTTTAGATATTATTTTGTTTTCTATTCCAACTTATCAATGTAAATGTTTTAAATAAATCATCAATTTTATCGGTGCACATTTATTTAATTGCATTCACCTCGACAACCTTTTTAGATATTAATTTGTTTTCTATTAAAACTTATCAATGTAAATGTTTTAAATAAATCATCAATTTTATCGGTGCACACTTATTTAATTATATCGACCAGCGCGCATACACGACGACGACGCGATAACGTGCCGGCCCAGTTACGCTAGGGGAACAGCGCGCGCGCGTCGGCGTTTATCTCCGAAGGTTCGAGGTTCGAATCCCGCCCGCGCGAGACATCGGCGGCGGCGGCGGTCGCTTTTTTCGGCTCTCAAAAATTTCTCACCCCCGCACCCCCACACCCCCCGTAGTGCCGAAAAGGCACTACGAAATTTATTTTTTCTACGAACCCCTTTTTTTACCGGGGTACAATTGCCAAAAAGGCACTAGCGACTATGACGTCATAAAATGTTTTTTAATCAGTGACACCACTTTTTCCCCAAGGGGAGGCGCCAAAAAGGCACTATGACGTCACACCTTACCCACCCCCAGGGGTCCCCGTACACCTGTCTACACCCTAATGGTGACACTTTCCACTTCTTCGGCGTGACCTTTACTTCTTTTACATGACCCCCCTTACGAAGAACTGGCTTTGGTACACTGCTGATGGAAAATGCCATCGGTGACCTTGAATCGTCACAGTCCCGCGTTAGAATAACTACTCGCCTCCTCCGCCGCGTTCAATTCGAACCAAGCGACGAGCTTAGAACGCTCGCCCCTTTCGACTACGGCCACCTCGTCCCCTTCCCTGTAAATTTCACAAGCCTCTCCTTCCAAATGCACGGGCAACTTTTCGATCGTGTGACTGATATGGAACATGCCATTTCCCAAGATGCGATAGACCGCCTCGTGCGGTCCGATATATCTCATTTTAAGGAATGCCGCCGCCTCGTTCCAATCGATCGTACCGGTGGTCGTATTCACTTGCATCTCAACGCATTGGATGTTCGCTACGTCTAACCCCTTATTGACGTAGGCGTTAATGTATCGACACACCTGGATCGGGTTTCCGACGCAAAGTTCCAAATTCGTTGCCGACGAAACGATTTTGTTGCCTGTTAAAAAAGCAAACACCCGGAGGACGTCTGTAAAGAATTTGCTTCTCGATCTTAAAAACGGTGCTCGATATTTGCTGTTTCGGATATTTCCACCGGCATCGATCGACAACGGTCCAGCAAGGCGGTCTTCTGACCCTCGAATTTTCGACACCTATCACCCCCTCTTGTTCCTCCTCCTCGTCATTGTCGTCGATTTCCTGTTCGACGTTTTCCGGTTCGATATCGCACTTGTTATGTATCAAGAACGTGTTGACCAAGTGACGAAGCGATTCGAAACCGTTACCGTCCGAAGGTTCGGGCCATCTCGCCCAAATGACCCTATCCACATCCTCTCCCGAAACGGGAACGTCTTCTCTGGACAAATAGAGAAGGATATGCGCGTGCGGAGCGCCGCGTTTTTGGAATTCTACCCTGACAACGTATCCTTCGATTTTCCCTAAGATTTGACGCTCGGTCAAATCTCCCATCAAGGCACACAATCGTAATGATTGTGTCCACTGTATCTTAACAAAATCGGATTGGTATCGTCCATTCTTCCCTGATCTAAGAGAATTTTTCCATTTTCGATGATCAAAAACCTCCTATTATAAAACGAAGAAAGTGCGAAAACTTCCATGGCGGAACCCCATTCGCCGTTTTTTGACATGACATTTTTGTAATCATCAAAATTTGTAAAATCGGTCCAAACCGCTAGATCGTTCCAATTGTTTTCCGCCGCCGCGACCGCGTTCGATCTTACCTGGAAATGTTGCCGGTCGTTACCGTGCAATCCCACGGCGATAGAACGAAACAAGCAATTCCCGTCGCCGGCCGCCACTCGATACCGTCCGTATCGATCGCTTCTAATTTGTTCGCTTTCCATTATTATTTTCGACTAGAAACTTCTGAATAAAAAAAAGAAAAACGGGAATAAATTATACGATAAAATGTGTAAGAACGCATAAATCGACACATATTTAAAGAAAAACGTTAAAAAAAAATTAGAACATTTAAAATTTAATAAGAACCGTCAAAATAGCAGAACGATATCGCGACGTTCTGTATACAATTTAAATTTAAAGAAGGAAATAAAAAAAAAACGAAAACGAAAATATCGTTCGCTCGAAACAAACGATATAATAACGTAACACATAGAACCAATGTAAAGAAAATGAGACACCCTGTATGTGATTAGAAGCAAACTATCTTATCGGAGTACGTCTGATGGTGTAGAAACAGAGTTACGCAACCCGCACATGATTTTACGTAGGAAATAATTTAAAGACATCCGGTATGTTTTTAAAAAATTAAATTTAAAATTATAAAGCCAAAGATGCAAAAACATTAGCAAATTTAAATCGAAATACCCATTTACCGCGAAGAACGATATCGCGACGTCCTGTATACAATTTAAATTCAAAGAAGGAAATAAAAATAACGAAAACGAAAGTATTGTTGACTCAAAAGAAGCGATATAATAACGTAACACATAGAACCAATATAAAAAAAATGGGACAACCTGTATGTGATTAAAAGCAAACTACCTTATCGAAGAACGTGTGATGGTGTAAAAACAGAGTTACGCAACCCGCGCATGATTTTAGGTAGGAAATAATTTAAGGACATCCGGTATATTTTTAAAAAATTAAATTTAAAATTATAAAGCCAGAGATGCAAAAACATTAGCAAATTTAAATCGAAATACTCATTTACCGCGGGGAACAATATCGCGACGTCCTGTATATAATTTAAATTCAAAGAAGGAAATAAAAATAACGAAAACGAAAGTATCGTTGACTCAAAAGAAGCGATATAATAACGTAACACATAGAACCAATGTAAAGAAAATGGGACAACCTGTATCTGATTAGATGCAAACATTTTTATCTGAGTATGTGTAATCGTGTGAAAACAGAGTTACGCAACCCGCGTATGATTTTACATAGGAAATAATTTAAGGATAACCGGTATATTTTTAAAAAATTGAACATGACGCTAGAGATGTAAAAACCAATGCAAAGAAAAAAAAACACTAAAATATATTAGCGAGAGATAGTCGCAACTCGAAAACTTTTTCTTCATGTCCGGGTAGGAGCACATAGCAATAGAAATATATTTAATTACCTTAAAAAAAGAAAATCAATCACAATTAACTTTCTCGGGTGCACTTTTAAAACAAACTAAATGCAAATCTCGATGAAGATCATCCCACCTACATTGTCACCCCCACCAATTATTTAATATTTCGCGCCTAGGATAACGATCGCTAAGATCGTCGAACGTTGCCACGTTGAGCGCAAAACGTAGTTATTAAAAATGATGCGAGTTAATTTTTGTCTTTACCAATTATGAGAATCGTCGAAATCTATCTGGAAACACTTTCAACTGCATCCCGTCTCTTTTCGTTGAATTGAAATTGATCTTTTTTTCAATAAAAATCGATATAAATCACAATGCAGGGATGCTTCTGGCAACAGTGTCACCCCATCCACTTTTATAACGGTTTTCTGTCCGTCGATCGTAAATCATTTTTTCGCGGGTAAAATAACGGCTGTTAGAGAATCGTCGGACGTTGCCATATTTAAGAGATGCAAAAATCACGAAAATAATCGATCGATTTTAATAAGGGAAAAATGAAAGCCTACCTCGCTTTAAAATTTCAAACTTGAATGGATAGGAGGAACGTCGGAAGCCTACCAAACTATAGTGGTTACGAAACCGCACCACTCTACGCGCGTTATAATAAACTTGGGACGAAAATTCGCTTATTTTTCGCCTCCGACGCACCGTTTCCGAGATACGGCCCTTTTTCGAAATTTTTTTTTCCATTTTAAAATGGCTATAGCTCGAAAACGGTTCGTTTTTTGGGAAAACCGAGCAATTTTTTGTTCGAAAGGGGACGGTTTACCACCCCATTTTACGGGAATCCGGTATCTGTTTTCCCATTTTCTTGATTTTGGTGCCCCCGCCGGCATCGTATAGAGTCTTAGGAGCCTACCTCGATTTAAAATTTTAAACTTGAATGGATAGGAGGAACGTCGGAAACCTGCCAGGCTATAGTATATACGAAACCGCACCATTTTACGCGCGTTATAATAAACTCGGTACGAAAATTCGCTTATTTTTCGCCTCCGACGCACCGTTTTCGAGATACGACGATTTGAAAATTTTGAAAATTATTCCAAAAAACCGCCGTGTCTCGGAAACGGTTCGTCGTAGCGAGAAACGGAGCGAATTTCCGCCCCAAAGGTACGGTTTCCGACCCCGTTTTACCCGGATCCGACATCGTTTCCGCCATTTTCCGGAAAAAAGTTCTTTCGGGGGCGGTAACTCCGCCCCCCAAGGTCGGGGGCGGTTCCGCTCGCGGCGCCGAAATCGCGGCCGCCCCCTCCGCCGACCCGCCAAGTTTCATCCCGATCGGAGCGGCCGTTCCCGAGATACATCGCGAGCCGGCAACGTTTAGAGTCAGGTCCCGCATAACAAGCGGCGCGAGAAGCGCGGTCGCCTATTATGCGGGGACTAGGGCGGTATCTGATCGCCTTCGAACCTCTAACTTTCGTTCTTGATCAATGAAAACGTTTTTGGCAAATGCTTTCGCTTCTGTCCGTCTTGCGACGATCCAAGAATTTCACCTCTAACGTCGCAATACGAATGCCCCCATCCGTTCCTATTAATCATTACCTCGGGGTTCCGAAAACCAACAAAATAGAACCGAGGTCCTATTCCATTATTCCATGCACACAGTATTCAGGCGAAGTTTTAGCCTGCTTTAAGCACTCTAATTTGTTCAAAGTAAACGTGCTGGCCCACCTCGACACTCAATGAAGAGCACCGCGGCAGGATTGAGTTGGACCGCCCGCGTGAACGGGCTAAGTCCACCGGCAGGACGTCTCGCGGCACGCCAGTTAACACCGCGGACGATGAACCGGCGGCGCGAGACACAAATTCGACTACGAGCTTTTTAACCGCAACAACTTTAATATACGCTATTTTAGCTTGAATTACCGCGGCTGCTGGCACCAGACTTGCCCTCCAATTGATCCTCGCGTTAAAGGGTTTAGAGTGTACTCATTCCGATTACGGGCCCTCGGATGAGTCCCGTATCGTTATTTTTCGTCACTACCTCCCCGTGCCGGGAGTGGGTAATTTGCGCGCCTGCTGCCCTCCTTGGATATGGTAGCCGTTTCTCAGGCTCCCCCCTCTCCGGAATCGAACCCTGATTCCCCGTTACCCGTTACGACCATGGTAGGCGCAGAACCTACCATCGACAGTTGATAAGGCAGACATTTGAAAGATGCGTCGCCGGTGCGAGACCGTGCGATCAGCGTAAAGTTATTCAGAGTCACCAAGTTGAACGATGTCGGGCGCGAACCCGCCACCGATTGGTTTTGATCTAATAAAAGCACTCCTTCCGTCTCCGGTCGGACCTCTGTTTGCATGTATTAGCTCTAGAATTACCACAGTTATCCAAGTAATTGTGGGTACGAACTAAGGAACCATAACTGATTTAATGAGCCTTTCGCGGTTTCAATTCGAATTCGCGTATACGGATCGCCTTTGTATGCGGACCGGCTCCATATATAGACCGCCTTCGTATATGGATCGCCTTGCTATACGCTTCCATATAGGGATCGCCTCCATATACAGAACGCCTTTATATACGGACCGCCATTATATACGGACCGTCTCTAAATACAGACCGCCTTCGTATACGGACCGCCTCCATATACGGACCGCCTCCATATACAGAAAGTCTCTATATGTAAACCGCTTCTATATGCGGACCGGCTCCATATATAGACCGCCTGTATATATAGACCGCCTCCATTTATAGATCGCCTCCATATACAGATCGCCTCTATATACAGACCGCCCCCATATATAGGTCGTCTCTATATATAGACCGCTTCCATAACCGAAACTAACCAAAATGGATCAAAGTGGAGTATATAGACCGCCTAGATGGTAGACCGCCTCCGTGGTGGTTGGCATCACTAAAGCGATAACCAAAACTAACCAAAATGGACCAAAGTTGAGTATATAGATTGCCTAGACCGTGAACTTCTTCGGTGGCGGTTTGTTAGGAACGTCGGAAACCTACCACGCTATGGTGTTTACGAAACCGCACCACTCTACGCGCATTTTAAGAAACTCGGTACGAAAATTCGCTTATTTTTCGCCTCCGACGCACCGTTTCCGAGATACGGCCCTTTTTCGAATTTTTTTTTTTCAATTTTAAAATGGCCATACTCGAAAACGGTTCGTTTTTTGGGAAAACCGAGCAATTTTTTGTCCCATAGGGGACGCTTTACCACCCCATTTTACGGGAATCCGGTATCGGTTTCAAAACTGCAAATATCAGTTTAAACTATCATTTTTTGATACAAACAGTTATATATTCATGTCAATATCATTCAAATTCTAGTCAAAATCGGCGTCTTTGGGCATTTTAGTAACGAAAACCTTAATAAACTATTAGATTTCGACGTAAGGCAACCATTCTGAGTCAAATAGTTGCCGATTTCGATAAAATCTTAGTCAGAATCTGCTTTTTCGCCTCTTATTGTACCCAAATCTACCTTAGAAATGCAGATATATACTTAAAATACCTTCTTTTGGGACAAATAATTGGTTTTCGCCCTTGATTTACGGAAGATTATAGCCAAAACATGCATTTTCATAACTTTGCGAACTGAAATCTACATTAAAACTGCAGATAACTACTTAAAAATTCACTTCCTTGAATTGATAATAGGTTTTTCTTTGTCATTTTAAACAGATTCCAGTCAAAATCGGCTTCTTCGACTCATATCGTACCTAAAACCGCATCAAAACTGCAAATATCAGTTTAAACTATCATTTTTTGATACAAACAGTTATATATTCATGTCAATATCTTTCAAATTCTAGTCAAAATCGGCGTCTTTGGGCATTTTAGTAACGAAAACCTTAATAAACTATTAGATTTCGACGTAAGGCAACCATTCTGAGTCAAATAGTTGCCGATTTCGATAAAATCTTAGTCAGAATCTGCTTTTTCGCCTCTTATTGTACCCAAATCTACCTTAGAAATGCAGATATATACTTAAAACACCTTCTTTTGGGACAAATAATTGGTTTTCGCCCTTGATTTACCGAAGATTATAGCCAAAACATGCATTTTCATAACTTAGCGAACTGAAATCTACATTAAAACTGCAGATAACTACTTAAAAATTCACTTCCTTGAATTGATAATAGGTTTTTCTTTTTCATTTTAAACAGATTCCAGTCAAAATCGGCTTCTTCGATTCATATCGTATCTAAAACCGCATCAAAACTGCAAATATCAGTTTAAACTATCATTTTTTGATACAAACAGTTATATATTCATGTCAATATTTTTCAAATTCTAGTCAAAATCGGCGTCTTTGGGCATTTTAGTAACGAAAACCTTAATAAACTATTAGATTTCGACGTAAGGCAACCTTTCTGAGTCAAATAGTTGCCGATTTCGATAAAATCTTAGTCAGAATCTGCTTTTTCGCCTCTTATTGTACCCAAATCTACCTTAGAAATGCAGATATATACTTAAAACACCTTCTTTTGGGACAAATAATTGGTTTTCGCCCTTGATTTACGGAAGATTATAGCCAAGACATGCATTTTCATAACTTAGCGAACTGAAATATACATTAAAACTGCAGATAACTACTTAAAAATTCACTTCCTTGAATTGATAATAGGTTTTTCTTTGTCATTTTAAACAGATTCCAGTCAAAATCGGCTTCTTCGATTCATATCGTATCTAAAACCGCATCAGAACTGCAAATATCAGTTTAAACTATCATTTTTTGATACAAACAGTTATATATTCATGTCAATATCTTTCAAATTCTAGTCAAAATCGGCGTCTTTGGGCATTTTAGTAACGAAAATCTTAATAAACTATTAGATTTCGACGTAAGGCAACCATTCTGAGTCAAATAGTTGCCGATTTCGATAAAATCTTAGTCAGAATCTGCTTTTTCGCCTCTTATTGTACCCAAATCTACCTTAGAAATGCAGATATATACTTAAAACACCTTCTTTTGGGACAAATAATTGGTTTTCGCCCTTGATTTACCGAAGATTATAGCCAAAACATGCATTTTCATAACTTAGCGAACTGAAATCTACATTAAAACTGCAGATAACTACTTAAAAATTCACTTCCTTGAATTGATAATAGGTTTTTCTTTTTCATTTTAAACAGATTCCAGTCAAAATCGGCTTCTTCGATTCATATCGTATCTAAAACCGCATCAAAACTGCAAATATCAGTTTAAACTATCATTTTTTGATACAAACAGTTATATATTCATGTCAATATTTTTCAAATTCTAGTCAAAATCGGCGTCTTTGGGCATTTTAGTAACGAAAACCTTAATAAACTATTAGATTTCGACGTAAGGCAACCTTTCTGAGTCAAATAGTTGCCGATTTCGATAAAATCTTAGTCAGAATCTGCTTTTTCGCCTCTTATTGTACCCAAATCTTCCTTAGAAATGCAGATATATACTTAAAACACCTTCTTTTGGGACAAATAATTGGTTTTCGCCCTTGATTTGCGGAAGATTATAGCCAAAACTTGCATTTTCATAACTTAGCGAACTGAAATCTACATTAAAACTGCAGATAACTACTTAAAAATTCACTTCCTTGAATTGATAATAGGTTTTTCTTTGTCATTTTAAACATATTCCAGTCAAAATCGGCTTCTTCGACTCATATCGTACCTAAAACCGCATCAAAACTGCAAATATCAGTTTAAACTATCATTTTTTGATACAAACAGTTATATATTCATGTCAATATCTTTCAAATTCTAGTCAAAATCGGCGTCTTTAGGCATTTTAGTAACGAAAACCTTAATAAACTATTAGATTTCGACGTAAGGCAACCTTTCTGAGTCAAATAGTTGCCGATTTCGATAAAATCTTAGTCAGAATCTGCTTTTTCGCCTCTTATTGTACCCAAATCTACCTTAGAAATGCAGATATATACTTAAAACACCTTCTTTTGGGACAAATAATTGGTTTTCGCCCTTGATTTACGGAAGATTATAGCCAAAACATGCATTTTCATAACTTAGCGAACTGAAATCTACATTAAAACTGCAGATAACTACATAAAAATTCACTTCCTTGAATTGATAATAAGTTTTTCTTTGTCATTTTAAACAGATTCCAGTCAAAATCGGCTTCTTCGATTCATATCGTATCTAAAACCGCATCAAAACTGCAAATATCAGTTTAAACTATCATTTTTTGATACAAACAGTTATATATTCATGTCAATATCTTTCAAATTCTAGTCAAAATCGGCGTCTTTGGGCATTTTAGTAACGAAAACCTTAATAAACTATTAGATTTCGACGTAAGGCAACCATTCTGAGTCAAATAGTTGCCGATTTCGATAAAATCTTAGTCAGAATCTGCTTTTTCGCCACTTATTGTA